TAGTAACACTAGATCGACACACCGCCCGAGATGATCAGTAGCCTTGCATTGTAACCAAAGATAGTACAGCCTACCGTAGGGTGTAGTATCTTTGTTGTAACCAATGTAAACTACCGCTCGCTCAGCGAGCCAATCACAATCCAACATTTTTGGGCTCCACCTAGACACCATGACTACATAAACCCCAATCGGGGAGTACGTAGACACTTCCATTATAAAATAAGAAAAGTCGGGTATGAGCCCCCAATGTTTTTGTTTCAATGTGGGATGTAGAATTTTTGAGTTTCGCCAAAAAGATAAGATTTTTTCAGTTAGGCAATCTTATCATTCCACACACACACACACACGCGCGTCGCGCGCACATGTTTTATGCATGGGGTGTAAAACTATGTATAGTCATGAAAAAGAAAACGCAAATAAAATTATTTGTATTTCAATTATTATACAAACAAATGAAAAATGGATATTATACATGTAATAACAAGCACATCGTTCATTGCTCAGGTGCTGTTACTGCTTGTCGTTGGTACAATCTTGATGAATTAGGTATCATAAGAATCTGTAGACAGACAGACAGACAGACAGACAGACAGACAGACAGACAGACAGACAGACAGACAAGATGAGAAAAAAACGAGGCGGGAGGACAAGGAGGATGATGAAGTCTCCAAGGTCAGAAGGTGGGTGTTTGATAACCCCAATAACCTCGCCTGTATCTCTGGTTTACATCACTGAGGCCAATTGCTTCTCGGTGAGTGACCCGCGCGTTGAGCTCTAATGCCCAAAACGCCCATTAATTCACCCGCTAGAAGCAAGCCGATAGCAAGTGGCCTTAAATGGTTATACGCAGAGCACATTCGTTCGACTTGTCGTGTGTGCATGGCGATCGGATAGGATTAGAAATTCCAAAAGGGTTTTAACCACATAGAAAACGGATTCAGCAAGAATGAACTCAAGTTGCGCAGACCTTGGCGACCGGCCGGCCTCTTTGGTGTAGCCGTTCGACGCTTCGCCGCAGCATGCAGAAGGCCCGAGTTCGATTCTCATGTGGAGATAATTTTTTTATCAAGCGTCGGTCTTTGCGTTGTATCCCTCTCAGCCCCGGCTGGCCCTTACAGGCAGGATCGAAGCCTGCCTCTTACATGATTTATACTGTGCCGCGGATACGTAAAAGACATTCATTTAAATAAAACCTTGGAGAAAACAAAAAGACCCGTGTTCGGCTTGCGTACAAAAGCAATTAAACGGTTCCAAGGTTATGGCTCCCGACAAAGTCACTGGTCCTCCAAGCTAACCACAGTTTAAATAAGGGGTTGACAGCTATTTTCGAAAGTGGTTCTTAGAGTTATTCATAAATGGATATTAATTTGGTATTGGTAGACTATGTCTTTCGTCCTACCTCTGAAGTCGAGATTAGCCAAGAGCTACGGTATAACAAACCTATCCTACATAAAAAGATATGCTCGGATCGGCCCACATCCCATTACATACAACACGAATTTGCTAATAAAGTGTCCATAATTTTTTTTTTTAAGTACAGGTTGTACACATATCTCTTATATAAAACAGTAAACATTTCAAGCAGCTTCAGAAAGGAAAAGATATTTTGAAACTTGTGGAACAAGATGGAACCAATCAGACAACACACGCTTTCTTCGGGGACAGTTGGTACCTTTTTTGCTTTGTTTTGTTTTTGTTTGTCTTTTCAAAATTCAGGACATATTGACTCCAGCTCAGGACACACAAGAGGAGTAGCATTCATGTTATCGGGACCTTGTAGAAAAGCTAGCGGGAAGGACACGGACGGAGATTTATTACCTTTTCACACAGGACAAAGAACAATGGAAGACGACGGGGTGTGCAAAGGGGAAGAGGCAGTGACAGATCATCACCTTGTCATAAAAACCAAAAAAACAGCACCAAGCGGCCAACTAGAAAAAAATACTAAAATTTAGCATCCATCTGCTTAAAGATAAGACCACTCATTAAGATTGTAATTCGGCTTCAAAAACATATTTTAAGGGTAGTTAGATTTGCCTGATGCCATTGGGTCCTATGAAAAATTCACCACTGTGAAAAAACGCAAACTGGGATGGTATGGGAACATAACAAGATCAACATGACTTGCAAAAATGATCCTACAAGGCACTGTCCAAGGAGTGAGAAGAAAAGGCAGACAGAAAAAGAGATGGGAAGACAAACAAAACGGAATGGCCAGGTCTAAATTTGGGTGAAGCGATTCGAAAGGCTGAAAATAGAGAAGGATGGATAAAAGTAGTTGGCCGATCATCATTGGTGCCCCAAGAGTCATCTAAGACAAAGGGATAACTGAAGTGAAGTGAATATTTGCTTGAAAAGAGGAAATGAATCTGGAGAAACATTGGAAAACCAACAGGACACTAGGATTAAGGATGAGGTAACTGGGAGCTCTTGTCGGTGGCCTGTACTCCAGCATGGGGTGAAAAAGTGACGTTGGTGATGATGATGATGATGATGATGATGATGATGATGATGATGATGATGATGATGATGATGATGATGATGATGATGAAGATGATGATGACGATGATGATGACGATGACGATGAAGATGATGATGATGATGATGATGATGATGATGATGATGATGATGATGATGATGATGATGATGATGATGATGATGATGATGATGATGATGATGATGATGATGATGATGATGATGATGACACGTTGATATGTATAATTTTAATAATAATTGTTCTTATTACCCTAAGTACGTGTCATCATTTTAAAAATATTATTATTATTATTATTATTATTATTATTATTATTATTATTATTATTATTATTATTATTTATTATTAATATTAGTATTAGTATTATTATTATTTTCACCATCATCATTGTAATTACCATCATCATCACCATCACCATAACTATTAAAGGAACATTAACTGAATGGTTTTTTTCCCTCGTGCCATATCCATTAGTCATTAGTTACGTCCAACCAGATCGACACCTGGCTGAGAAACCCATTGCGAAATGACCCACAATGACATAACAGCAAAGTGAGTGCAAAAAGAAAACACACTGGCATCAGCATCAGCCCAGAAAGAGGAGAAGAAAACAATCAGCAGAACGGCAAAAACCGGACAGACAGGTAGACAGACACACAGGCACACCTCGTAGTCCCGATAATGGCAAAATGACACTTCCAGTAGATTAGTTGCAGTGTTAGAAAAAGTTGGGGACATTATTTTACCACCAGACTTACGGTGGTGCTTAGAGATGTTGATAAGACCTTTAAAATTTTCATCACATTTTAAAATAACGTTTTTTATTTTAAAATTTTATTTTATTTCTAAATCTTTATTTATTTATTTATCTCTCGATTTTTCTAATTTTTAAAATGTTTATCTAAATTTGTATTTATATTCTATTTTCATTTCTTTTATTTTTATTATTTTCATTCATCTATCAATCTATCTATCTATCTATCTATCTATCTATCTATCTATCTATCTATCTATCTATCTATTTCTTTATTTACTTATCTATTATTGGGGGAGGGGCACTTTACCCCATACTGTACATTATACTGCTAACCCAAACCAGAACTCGACGTTAGACACTGAAGGCTAATCAACTTTCGACGATGCAAGAGGATGCTTTAAATGGGAAGGATGTAGCAGCGACATAAAAATATATACGATCATCAGCTGACCAAAGGCAATGCTTTGGCACATTTCAAAACATCAAACTGTGCAAATCAGAAACCTTGATTTATCATAAATCACAGTATGCCTGTTTTTAACTGCCTTTTAAAGTTTTAGATAACGAAAACAAAACGGGAAAGTTTGTATCCTAAACAAAATTATTCTGCCCTGAAAGAGCGCGTCTTCAAACGTTGCCGGAATGCTAAAATGAGCTCGTTAGTGAAATTTTAAAAATAAATAAATAAAATAACACACACAATGATCCGACAAGCAAACTTTGTTTTTGTAAATCATCCCCAACGATATTTGTACAATTAGCAGGAAAGTACATGCAGGTCACTTTTAACTGGGCGTGCTTGGTCCAAAGACATCAGAAAACCATAAGAAAATCCGATTTCATTTTCCTTTGTCAATGATGTTTTACGTCCAAACTGACAAGTGAATTTAGATCACTTTGAAGACGAATAGCTATCGAGCAAGGCCAAAGCGGGCTAAGTAAAACCAAAAGCGGCGTGTTTTTCCAGCGTTGATGTTCACATGTTTAAAAAAAAAAGTCATGAGAGAGGAAGCTTCATGTTCCAGCCTGAGACACCAGTTTTCAGAACTAAAAAAATGAGAACCATAAACTCAAAATTTCCCTGGAAATGACGTCAATCAGTGTTAGAAGTGATAGAAGCTGCAGCTCATCAGGTCACAGTGGAAGGCTAAAATCTAAAACGCCAATCCCTATTTGAGATTATTATTGTGCCCTGCATTTCATGATGAAAAAACCCCCTCTCCATGCAGCTATAAAAGACGACCTTTTGACCATAATGCTTACCGTGAAACTTGAGGCTTGGCCAGAATTTTTTCTGGACTCTCAGCACTTTGTTGATTGTGTCTAGGGCTCTGAAATAAAAAGACAAAAAAACATTACGCTATGTCGATATTGCACTCATGCAGTAAAGGATTACTGCTTTTATTATTCATTTCTTTTTTAATATAGTTCTAAAACAGATAGATATAGGTCCAGCATAATAAGCAGACAGGCAGACAAATGAGAAAGAGAAATACAGAGGAAATAGAAAGAGAGAGAGAGAGAGAGACAGAGAGAGAGAGAGAGAGAGAGAGAGAGAGGGGGG